AATTTGGCCTGACCCAAAAAAAATTTTTTTATTTTTCTTGCACTTGCAACTTTGCGTGTATAAAGCTGACAGACTTCCGAAATCCGTCTCAGCTCCCGACATTCCAAGTTTTCGACTAACAATGTATAGAAAATCAGAAAAAATGCTGAAAAATAAAAGTAAAATCCTACCTACCTGCCCATTTGTTAACAAAAGGTGATGAGAAACAAGACATATATTTTATGTGGCCTAACCTAAACAAACGCTTAGACTGTGTAAGTACATAAAGAGATACAAAGAACATTAAATTTTTAAAGATCCCCGATGAGGAAGGTTGATTTTGGACGTTAGGAAAATCTCGACTTGCTTCATTTAGTATTCATTTAAATTTCAGTAAGTGCTGGGTGGGACGGAAAACAATGTGGTTCAAGGACTGAGAGACAGACTACGCAGACCCAGTATCAATGATACTGTCAAACCCAGACAATTTTTCGACTACGTGGGATCTCACACAGCATATTGCAGGTTATTGCCGGCAGAAATAGCAACTTCCCTTTCCCTTAATTAGTAATGACATACAAAACGAACATGCAGTGACACATTGCCCTTTACTGAAAATGATGGCGAAATAACAAATGTGCGGAGCGTCACACTTTTCCCTTTCCCAATACAGATGAGGAATTACAGGATCAAACAGACGGTTGTTCCACATTCTCTCCCAAATGCTCGAAAGATTTTCTTCGCATATTTTGTCACTAAACAAACTATTTAAACTATTTGTTAGCACTTTTCAACATATTAGTCATATCACAGTAACAACTGCTCATAGTGGTTAAAGCGTTTGCCCATACGCCGAAGGACAGGTTTCGATTCCTCACATGGGTACAATGTGTGAAGTCCATTTCTGGTGTACTCCGCATTGATATTGATAGAATTCAAGGCTTCGGGAACCCTGACCACACATAAAGTGTTTAGTTCAAACTGAGAATATTATACAACCGCCAAACAGTTCAAGGTTTCACATGCAATTAAGAACAAATACAGTGCAACATAAGACTTTAACATAAAGTACCAGCTTGTATTTGTTTCCAGTGCAGAACTGTTGTGGGCACGCGTTCAAAAGTGGATTTTCGTACACATAAAAGTGTTGTACACTCTCTTTGTCTTAAGTGAGTGAGTGAGTGAGTTGGGTTTTACGCCGCTTTTAGCAATATTCCAGCAATATCACGGCGGGGGACACCAGAAATGGGATTCACACATTGTACCCATATGGGCAATCGAACCCGGGTCTTCAGAGTGATGAGCCAACGCTTTAACCACTAGGCTACCCCACCGCACCCTTCGTCTTAAGAAAAAAATATATTTTTAAAAAACAGTTCGGTTTATGTAAGACACATGGAAATCTTACATGTGATTTGTGAATGGATTTCAATATCAAATTGCATCTGGATGTTATTTTCTCACTCTAGTCTAACGCTAAAAGATGTCACTCAAAGAAGTTTGACGCATCTTTCAGTATCTGAGTGAGTGAGTGAGTTTAGTTGTACGCCGCACTCAGCAATATTCCAGCTATATGGCGGCGGTTTGTAAATAATCTAGTCTGAACCAGACAATCCAGTGATCAACAGCATGAGCATCGATCTGCGCAATTGGGAACCGATGACATGTGTCAACCAAGTCAGCGAGTCTGACCACCCGATCCCGTTAGTCGCCTCTTACAAGCATGGGTTACTCTACTCTTACAAGCAAGGTTCATTCTAACCCGGACCTTCACGGGTTGCACTATCTGAAGTCCACAAAATGTTCACATGAACAACAAATGAAATATATCCGCCAATAGACTTTAGTTTTAACATGTACCCACGAACGGGAATGCGCAACTTATGGTGTTGATATGTAACACGTGTCGGCAATGTTTTCTATGCCCGAGTTTACAGGTAAATTTTCGAGTTCATTGAAGTGTCGTACAATCTCTTGTCTGGCCACCAATTTCTATATATATACTATCTCCAAAAAGAAACGCATAGGCGTTTTGTATTTTTGAAAATCTATGTATTACCTTTTGTGTTCAAACAATCGTTAAAATATGTAACAAAAGTGTTGATAACATGATTTTACACAATTACACAAGTAAAAAATCGACTACCTGAAAATGTTGATTTGGATGAGATTTCTTACAAGGATTAAAAAGGCATCGCCATAAGGCAACCGAAATCACCTTCCAGTTGAAATTGTGCAGCAAAGAGCATGCACTGTGTGGCTATAAAAATCCAGATTACTTTCGGAAATCGGCATTCGTTTTGAAGGAGTTTCAAGGTCAAATCACTACGCTACGTCTTGACTCTGCGACACGGAACATTGCCATTGAAAGAATGCACGCTGGCGATTACCAATCTTCTGTTGCCAGGCATCTAAATGTTAGTCTGAGCATGATATCACGGCTTACAGCTCATTACAACCAAACAGGTATAACAAATGACCGTCCTCGTACGGGCAGAGCTCGAGTCACCACTGTAGCACAAGATCGGTACATCCGGGTACTACATTTGCGTGATCGTACTGCCACGTGTGAGAGCACAGCAGCCAGGGTGCCTGAATTTCGGAGGATATCCGGTCAAACTGTACGGAACAGGTTGAGAGAGATTGGACTGAGAGCCAGGAGACGCGACGTCGGGACCGTGCTACGTCGTCACCATGTCGCTCAACGTCTATGTTATCTAAAATGGTCCACTTGGTTGTATAGAAATTTGCTTCTTCTATACCGATGTAAAAATTCATGTACAAAAGTCTGTTTGTGGACGAGTTATACATGTTTGAAAAAACAGCATTTTCGCAACAGATTTCTGGCCTATGCGTTTCATTTTGGGGATAGTATATTTTTCAAACCATGTTGTTTCACACTTTGGTAAACATAGGCCATATATGTTAATTGTGGATACATTTCAAAATTAACTGAAATTTTCAGATACTAAAAGTACAAAGTCGCACAGTGTTATGATCTGATGAGGAACGATCGGTTAATGTGAGTGAGATTAGTTTTACGCCACTTTCAGCAATTTCATGCAGGGGATACTAGAAATGGACACTTTCTTATGATATCTTCCCACTTCAATCTGTCAAATAGTAAAGATACAATACTTTAAGGTGACGTTGGCCTATTTTTCCCTCACACTACTAAGATGCAAAAGATATCGTTATGTGGAATTTTGTATTGGTAACTTGTGAATGAGTTTGTTAACAGAAGGAAAGCTATAGTTATGCCTCAATCTGGTACATTGCAGGGTAAGGTTCATCACCGAAACACCATTCGACACCTATGGCGACGTTTTCAAGAAAACAACCAATTTAGTGATCGTCCTTGTAGTGGTCACCAATGGGTTCGAATCACGAACCTCATACACAGGTTCCAGCCAGATACCCATACAGCCCGTACTATACCTGGCAACAGAGGTCATACCTAGAAATGTATCTGCAAGAGAGTATCTGGTGGGAAGATATATGGATGACAATGCCAGGTGGCATTAGGAATGTCAAATTGTCAAGAAAAAGGTACTCCAAGCACTTGACGAGTCTCCGAATAAGCCCTTTAAGACAAACGTCCGAAATAACTGATCAGACTGGATGGTGAACGGAGAACGCACTTACACAAAACATCGAACACAGTGAGGAGGGTTGCACTACAAGAAGTTCAAAGTGGGAGGAGATCCCGATGGTAGTTGATTCAATTCTGAAGTGTGAAATTTCAAACGCCATGGATGGCCCATAACATGATACCAGAATAGATCAAGAAGACAACCAATTATTGGAATAGTGAGTGAGTGAGTGAGTTTGGTTTTACGCCGCTTTTAGCAATATTCCAGCAATATCAAGGCGGGGAACACCAGAAATGGGCTTAACACATTGTACCCATGTGGGGAATCGAACCAGTTGCTGCGGCGTGACGAGCGAACGCCTTAACCACTAGGCTACCCCACCGCCCCTCATTGGAAGATCTTGCAGATTACTATGATGATGGAACAGTTAAGCAGCATGGACAATTCTGACCGGTGAAGATACTGGCAATGAGTTCTAAGGATTCGCCTATGAGGAATTATAATTACCATATGATAATGCCAAATGTATATTTATGTAATAACTGTATGTAAATAGTTTTGTTATGAGCGTGTGTGTTTACTACCGAAAATACTATGATCTGAATCAAACCCTCCTTGTCTTTATTTACCGTTACATTTTCTCGTAGGTTCAAAGTTCTATCCATTTCACAAAATGGTGTCTCATCGTTGATATCTACAATGATTGTTAGGATGTTGAGACAAATAAAACAGATACAGATTCCCACATTAGAGGTTAGTCAATCTTTTTTAGAAACCATTATCAACTTATAAAGACAAGACTTAATAGATGAACAACTTCTTTATTCGGTTGATGCGACGTTTCGATACAGATTCTTGTACTTGCTTGACAACGATACAAGAATCTGTATCGAAACGTCGCATCATCCGAATAAAGAGGTTGGTCATCCATAAAGTCTTGTCCTTATCTGATTCTCCAACTTCTAAACATGCCACTCAAAGAAACATTATCAACTTTTGAACATACAATTTCACATCCTATACTCGTGAATAACTGGCAGGGGGTTTATGCTATGTATGTAGTTGAGTCAGTTCAGATGAGTCCCCGTGTTGCCCTTGCCCTTCTTGGTTCGAGGTGACTTGCCGTTCTTGTTTCCAGGGTCAAGAAAATACCTTGGCTTAACTGCGATGTCGGCTTATCTGCCGTCATATACGGCTCTGTAAACATTTTGAGAGATAGGTACTAGTTCAATGGCCACTACAATCAAATCTTCACAGGCATGGCACTCAGCCTTAATGTGTGATTTTTTCCCCGACTGAACTGGAAGGCACTTTTTTCTTGAGAGGTTTGGTGAGAGTCCTCATTTAGCTTATCGGCTGGTAAGCAGGGCAGTGCTGGTAGCTCCTTTTAAGCCCTGGCTTGCCACAATCAAAACAGAAATCGAGTGATTTTATTCAGGAGCTGAGCGTTTATCACCAACCTGCTTTATTTGGGGTTTATTTGTCTGGGCACTTTTTGACTGAGCTTGGCCTTGACGACTGGCGGACACAAATATAAAAAATTCATTCCTAAAGTTGTAGAAAGATTCGAAGTTGGGCCATTTATGGCAAAATGGTTTGTACTGACGAACACCTCCTCCTGAATAATTCATAATGGTAATCTTGCATCTTTCCTCAACACCACTACTGGCAGCAGTGAAGGGGATCCACTTTCACCTTGTCTTTTCATCATGGTTGCAGATATTTTAGGAATTATGGTAAGAAAAGAAATATGAAGTATTTTAAAATGAAACTGAAACTAGTCTTAGAGCCTTATTAAATACTTTTGCAGCCTTTTGCAGGTCTGAAATTGAATGTCGATAAATAAATAAAGGTAATGTTAATACGTTCGGTCAACCAACCGAGCCTGACCACCCGATCCCGTTAGTCGCCTCTTACGACAAGCATGAGTTACTAATGATAGATCTAACCCGGAACTTCACGGGTAGAAATCATTAATAGACTACTAGCTAATTTGAGGAAATTGTAGGAAGAATTACAGTCACCGGAACTAATGCATAGTTTCTCTTCTTTACCATAATATCCATCACTAGATTGTCTGGTCCAGATTTGATGATTTGCAGGCAAACGTTGCTGAAATATTTCTGAGCGCTGCGTTGAACATCAAACAGAGAAAGACATTATGGATAACAGCATCATGAATTGTTTCATCGTAATGTACTATATCACTTCTCTGATATTGTTGTACTATTACTCTTCTCTGGTCTTGTTGATCCAAATTCGATAACGCTTGACCATTACTCCGGCTGTGCACTGGTCGCTGGAACATATAAATTTAATCGATGCATCATCATATATTATACATGTGCTGCACCTCTTCCATGATCATGTCCAGGGCATCTCTGTAAGAACGTGGTTGGTCACTCGCGCCAGACTCAGTGGCGCTGTATTGTAACATCTTGGCCACCTTAAGAACATTCTGGTGGAGTCTATGTACCTCATCCTTGGGAATTTCTTCTAAAATGTCTCGAATCTGCTCCTGTCGCTCTATCCGCTCCGAATCAATCGTCACAATGAAATCCGTATAATTCAATACCCGTTGAAAGGGGTATTCCACATTCTGATCAGCAAATCCAAAAATGACTGGAATGCATCCACTTTGAATACTGTCATAAAATGACTTCCTTGTTGGGGAGTCTCCAGGAGGTTGAAGACAGAACACGGACTTCTGCATCCATCCAATGGTGATGTTCTCATGACCAGGCCGGCATTCTATTGTTGTAAGGATCACCTGTGTTGGCACATCCCTTCCTTGAGCTTGCATTTGCGCAACAAACTTTTCATAAGTAGTATCGACAACTTTGTGAGGCATCTGATCCAAGATGATATTTCTGAAAAAGTTGGTTCTTCGATCACTAGCAGCGACAAAAATCATCACCTGCCTTGATCCTAATCCAGGTGAGGATATTGACTGAGACGTTGTTTTAGCGTTGTACAGATGCACATACGATGGATAAGGAGCCACTATAACTCTTTGGTTCTCAAGGCCTAGAAACTTTCTGTACCAAACGGATGCTTCCTTTTCAATGACAAGGTAAGTCACATCTCGACATTTTTCATTCTGAAGAAACGGGTGATCGCTTGTCGCTTGTTCCCTTTCAATTTTGGCAAGTGTTGAGATATGAGGCTTCCCTTGCCTGAGGTATGGCATGGCATCTAAAATATCGAACATTTCATTTTGTAACTGCACCATACTTGTAGACCATCTGCAGAAGAAGTAAATCCCTAGGTAGGCGGGGATGTAGTAGACGTCAGCTTCCTCTGGGTTAAGGGTTCGGTATCGACTCTGCAGAAGCTGGTTGTGAATAATCACCTCCAGGGAGAACTGATTGGTATAAAACACTCCCATCTCCCCTTCCCTGTAAATAAATTTTCCTAAGCCTCCATTTTGTAAGTGAAGACACAGATATGGCTGCACATCATAGTTTACACATGTTTCAATGTCTTTGTTGAACCTTGTAGGTAGGGAATAAATATAAACCTTCGGTATTTTCTTCGATGTGTTCAAATTTATATTCTGGCCTTTGTCATCAACAGATCTTGTATGTATCCCGGCTGGTAGTGTTTCTGTTATACTGGCATCGCACATAGTCGGCTCTGACATGTACTGCAGCTTCTCACAAAGAGCGTCAGAATGTTGTAATCTGAAAACAAAACAAAATAAATTTAAAAACTTAACAAACAGAATTTTTGTTTGGAAGAGTTTAAATTCTCACTCAGGACGTTTGGGTAGATATTGATTCAAACGATACAACACTGTGGTTAAACAATACAGATAATTCAACTGATTCTGGAGAATAATGAGACAATTATTGTCGTATATGTGTCTCTATGCGTGAAAATGGCGTGAAATGAAAGGTTGTCACCCCCTTCAATTTTTTGAATTGGAGAGGGGGTGTGGGGTGGGGGTGTGACGTGTGTGTTGGGGTGGGGAGGGGGGTGACAACCATTATTGGCATGAGTATATATAATGTAAGAATATTGTTGGGTCAGGTTGAGGTGCATTGTAGGTAACGAAGTGTCTATATTATCATATACTATACATGTACTGACATATGATAGATTATGAATATCAGTTAAGATTAACGACTGTGTTTGAAATATACCTTGTGTCATGATGAGGTGTTTCTTCCCAAGCCCAGACCACAACGACGCCCCATGTGAGGGCTACAATTGTCATCAGCCATATACTTCTTCTGTGTTTCCTTGAGAGGAACATGTCGTCACATCTGAAGAAACAGAAACAATGGTTGATTGAGTTTAGTTTTACGCCGCATCTGGCAAATTTCCTGCCCCGCAGTATCACGGCGGGGACATCAGAAATGGGCTTCACATAGTGTACCCGGATAATAGTATTCGGAATCGTTCGAGTACAAACGTTTTCGAGATAAAAGTTCAAACGGTATGTGCGAATGTTAACTTTCGCGATTTAGTAAGCTGTGTTCTGATTGGTCAATTCAAATGGTTAGCTGACGCGACCTTCTACTAGGTTTTGTTAGACTTGTATAACAGTGTAACGAATAATACTGAGCCTAATTAAAAGACTGGGAGCATATAAACTGAGGTACAAAAGAAAGTACACACCTGATGCTTTTGGATAACTTTCCAAAAAGCGACGTAAATGTTTTGAAAAGACTTTTTACAGTGATATATAAGACTTTCCTAATATGTTGCCAAAACACCACAGATATCGTGTCCAATTGCGAAGTTGCCAGTCAAAATCACAACACTTTTCAAATAATCCCCAAACACCAGGTGTGTACTTTCTTTTGTACGTCAGTTTAATGAACCATGCAACAACAGCACTGCTGGCGTGATGCTTGAGATCCAGGTAAGTGGTTGCTGCAGGCTGCCCTACTGCTCAAGAGAGCTTGGCGGATGGCTCATATTCTTTCTCTGGTACACGTTCACAAGTGATGCCGGCGCAGTATCAGAAAACGTAAATATATTTTCTGTGCCTAAGTCAAGCTTGGTGGGAAGTATATCATGGTTCCTGGAGTGACCGTTAGTTTGAGGTTAGCCTGTCTCCAAGACACCGGAGAATACATTAAAAAGGAATCCACCTCAAGTCTAGAAAGATTCCAGAAGGTCTAGATTGCCATATCTTTAAGCGTTCTGGTCTCCTTTTTGGGTATATTCTGATTTATTTATTTTGTTGGTAGATAAAGAAATACAAAAATGATTATTTCTGATGTCAAAACATTCACGTACGCCACTCGCGGACAGGCCTACCATCGTTAACCTTTTCGAGGTTACCTGCTTCTCAATTGGGACCTGCTCTTTCAAGACGTTTCAGCTGAGTATAACGTATGTTTGCTTATCATAAACGACACGTACTGCGGCGCAGCTGCAGTCAATTTCACATATTCACAACATATTTCACATATTCACATTGCTATTTTTCATAGATTGTAGTAGCAAGCAGCGGTAACTGTCACATATGCTACTAGGCCATAGCAAAGATATTTTCTATTTGACATCAGCAGCGGTAGTTTCCATACCAGCCTTACCGTCCCAGATGTTTTGTAGCCGACACCCCTGTGTTATTTAATCCACTCATAAAGGGGGAAATCTTTGGATCTTTGCATGTCACCTCGGATCATATTCTTACGTCGTGTATCTTCTAAAGAAGAAGTTGACATCCATAAATTTCCTCTTTGTGTGTGTCACTTTTAAATTTACATGCCATTCAAAGTATTTAACCCACCCTTCTCTCTGTTGTCCTGTTTATGTCACACGTCGCCACGTTGCTATCCTGATAAGGTATTCAGGTGATATTTAAAATACACGAGTTAAGACCCTTGAAAAGATAACATTGTTCTCGCGTTCAGTTCAGAGACTCTGTATTTGATGAAAATATCCCAAATGTTATCAAACCGTTACTAGGCTGAAAACAGCGGTTAGAACACTGCAAACGTAACGTCCAAACAACAACACAGGAAATGTCTATTTGTTTTGGTTACAAAAGATTGTTTACGGACTATACTACACAAACCTTTGAACCCTAATACGTGAATTAATCAATCATAATTATATTTATACAGGCATTAGAAGACGCCAAGGAATATAAATATCACCTTTTTTCAAAAAGCAACGTTTAACGCATTATTTTTTTCAAAATTATTTTGACAGTTTGTTATATTATACTCATGCCAATAATGGTTGCCACCCCCTTAAAAAAGGGTGGGGAGGGTGAATTGGCAGAGGGGTGTGACGCCGCTTTTAGCAATATTCCAGCAATGTTGGGTTAGGCCCATGTGGGAGGGGGCGTGACAACCATTATTGGCATGAGTATACATATTAACAATGCAGATAATAATGAAGATCCGGGCTAGGTTTGATCTTCAGCCACCCATGCTCATCGGGGCCACTAACGGGATCGTGGTCAGGCTGTCTGACTTGGTTGATGCATGTCACCGTACGTCAATTGCGTAGATCGGTGCTCATGATGTCAACCCCTGGTTTGCATGTCTAGGCTCAATTGTGTACAGACAACAAATAAACAAACAACGAAGAAATGTACAAGACTGTGAAAGGAGGAATTAATTTTGAATCAGCAAAGTAATAAATGAAATGTAAACAGTCATAAGTCTTTCCAAACATCTAGACCACTAATGGCGTGTGCCTATAGGGCGTGTCACACGAACAAGGTTACCTTGGGCAAAGTACATACACGTATGCTAACTTCCAGCCCCTACCTGCATACTTTCCACCTAAACATTAATAGTTGTTGAAATTGCTAGATCGATTTCGTCCTCGAAAAAGAAATTATTGTGTGGGGGTTGGGGTGAGGTCAGGTGATAGAGATTCAAGAATTTTGCACTAATGTCGCGGCAACGTGTACTAGTCCGGACTTGTTGGTTTTACAGCGCCATTATTATGTCCCAGTTTAACATGGACACCCTACTTTTTATGATAGGGTGGGGTAGCTTAGTGGTTAAAGCGTTCGCTCGTCGGGCCGGAGAGCCGGGTTCGATTCCCCTTATGGGTCCAGTGTGTGAAATCCATTTCTGGTCTCCCTCGCTGTGATATTGCTGGCATATTGCTACAAGAGGCGTAAAACCTTACTCACTCACCCACTCACCTATTTATATCATACACATCAGACCCGTGAAGATCCGGGTTAGAATTGGTCCATGAATTAACCCATGCTTGTCGTAAGAGACGACTAAGGGGATCGGGTGGTCAGGCTCGCTGACTTGGTTGACACATGTCATCGGTTCCCAATTGCGTAGATCGATGCTCATGCACAATGTAACCATGTTGGGAATCGAATCCAGCAATGTGGCGGCGGTCTGTAAATAATCGATTCTGAACGAGACAATACAGTGATCAACAGCATGAGTATTGTTCTACGCAATTGGCATATGATGACATGTATCAACCAAGTCAGTTAGCTTGACCATCCCGTTAGTCGCCTCTTACGACAAGCATGGGTTACTGAAGATCAATTCTTATCCGGATCTTCACGGGTCCCTCCTAGGGTTGCCCTTGTGTACAAATACACTAAGCACTACCTGGCAGATTCAGATTCGAACACGGATTCGATTTCCCACATGGGTACAATGTTTTAAACCCGATTCCGGTGGTGCCCGCCGTGGTATTGCTGGAATATTACTAAAAGCGACTCTTAGGACAGTCTAGACAAGGCACTACAGAGTTTGCTGAGCAGCGACTCGTGTCGTTAGAGTACGCTGACCAACCCATCAACCAAGTAACCGAGTGTGACCACCTCTTCCATTTAACCCTCCCCTCATTCACAGATGTTTCTGTTTCTAACAATACCGTGACACAGTACTTGTCGGAAGAGGGGGGAGGGGAGGGAGGGGGAGAAGGGGCAAGTATTCTGGATTCACCGGCACACGTTGAACGGCATTTTTCACAAGATGGTACTATGCTGAGTCTAAGACAGAAATTCTTATCAAAATACTCACCACAGCCCTAGACTTCAAAGCACACGGAGCAAGACGAATACTTCTACTGACGTCACCTTATATCTCCCGAACCACGACTTGTACAGAATGAACCGCATGTTCAACAGCACAGACGTTTTATTCACAACACCCCTGTGCATTTAAAGCCACGACAGAGCACAATGGTAACACTGTAATTATCCGCTTAATTCAACGCAAGTTTAAACACCAGCGTGTTTCAGTGAGTCTTCGCTATTTAATCGACAAGCCTTCAAGGAAAACATTATCTTCTTCCTGTCCTTTTGTGGAGGTAGATTGTACACGCACATGTTCTGTTTGTTTTAACCGTTCTACATGTGTAGGGGGCCCTATCCAAGGGACGATTTAACAAGTATAACACTATGGAGATCTTTATTTCAATGGTGATAAACTGAATTTGTAAATAAAGGCGAGACGGCCACTTGTTTCTTGTGTCAATATGACACAATGTGACACAATGTGACACAAAAATATCAGAATGAGTTACGTACCTTATTTCAGTGTTGTCGAATGGCTAGATCCATATAGGAGGGTCGACATGGGGCGCCTAGTAATCGCTTATGTCAATAAATATTTTGGGTGTGGGAACCACAGGCGAGGCTCAAGACGTGCCACGATGAAAGGATTGGCAACAGAGGTATGAAAGCACCACATTGTAGCATCAGTACTGTTTTCAAATCCCCTTTCAAATCACCCAAACCCATCAATGATGTTGCTAGGCTACATATATGTCCTAAGTATTGACCACGCTGGGCTGTCATTGACATATACCCCTTGGCAGTGGATGCTATTCAGTAGATGTGACAAGTGGCAGTTGTTCAGGCTAATACCGTTCTGCCATGGAATACAAACGTGGTGTTTTTGTTAATTATCATATATTAGACTTTTTTCACGAAATCTTTCCTGGCTGAACTTGTTCTTTTCAAAAGAGATGTGGTGTATACGTATTGATTAATATATTAAATCACGTTTTAACGAATCTGTCCTGGCTAATCTTGTTCTAAGAATAGAAAAGTATTATATGTATTAATTATTACACATAATCATAATCATTTATAACGAATATGTCCAGACTAATCTTGTTAAGAATAGAAACGTATAGTATGTATTAATTATTACACATATATCATAATCATTTATAACGAAATATGTCCAAATCTTGTTATGAGAATAGAAACATATATCACATAATCATTCATTTGTAACGAAATATGTCCTGGCTAATCTTGTTATGAGAATAGAAAAGTATAGTATGTATTAATTATTACACATATATCATAATCATTTATTATGAATATGTCCAGACTAATCTTGTTATGAGAATAGAAACGTATAGTATGTATTAATTATTACATATATCATAATCATTTATAATGAATATGTCCAGACTAATCTTGTTATGAGAATAGAAACGTATTATATGTATTAATTATTACACATATATCATAATCATTTATAACGAATATATCCAGGCTAATCTTGTTATGAGAATAGAAACGTATAGTATGTATTATTACACATATTAATTAACGATATCTCCTCTAATTTGTTCTGAGAATAACATATATGTCATAATCATTTATAACGGAATATGAATATGTCCATGTACTATTCACATATATCATAATCATTTGTAACGAAATATGTCCAGGCTAATCTTGTTATGAGAATAGAAACGTATAGTATGTATTAATTATTACACATATATCATAATCATTTATTATGAATATGTCCAGACTAAATTTTTAAAATCTTGTTATGAGAATAGAAACGTATAGTATGTATTAATTATTACACATATATCATGATCATTTATAACGAATATGTCCAGCTAATCTTGTTATGAGAATAGAAACGTATAGTATGTATTAATTATTACACATATATCATAATCATTTATAACGAAATATGTCCAGGCTAATCTTGTTATGAGAATAGAAACGTATAGTATGTATTAATTATTACACATATATCATAATCATTTATAACGAAATCTGTCCTGGCTAATCTTGTTCTGAGTATAGATAGGTATTATATGTATTAATTATTAGACATATATCATAATCATTTGTAACGAATATGTCCAGACTAATCTTGTTATGAGAATAGAAACGTATAGTATGTATTAATTATTACACATATATCATAATCATTTATAACGAAATATGTCCAGGCTAATCTTGTTATGAGAATAGAAACGTATAGTATGTATTAATTATTACACATATATCATAATCATTTATAACGAAATATGTCCAGACTAATCTTGTTATGAGAATAGAAACGTATAGTATGTATTAATTATAACACATATATCATAATCATTTATAACGAATATGTCCAGACTAATCTTGTTATGAGAATAGAAACGTATAGTATGTATTAATTATTACACATATATCATAATCATTTATAACGAATATGTCCAGACTAAATTTTTAAAATCTTGTTATGAGAATAGAAACGTATTGTATGTATTAATTATTACACATATATCATAATCATTTATAACGAATATATCCAGGCTAATCTTGTTATGAGAATAGAAACGTATAGTATGTATTAATTATTACACATATATCATAATCATTTATAACGAAATATGTCCAGGCTAATCTTGTTATGAGAATAGAAACGTATTGTATGTATTAATTATTACACATATATCATAATCATTTATAACGAATATGTCCAGGCTAATCTTGTTATGAGAATAGAAACGTATAGTATGTATTAATTATAACACATATATCATAATCATTTATAACGAATATGTCCAGACTAATCTTGTTATGAGAATAGAAACGTATAGTATGTATTAATTATAACACATATATCATAATCATTTATAACGAAATATGTCCAGGCTAATCTTGTTATGAGAATAGAAATGTATTATATGTATTAATTATTACACATATATCATAATCATTTATAACGAATATGTCATGGATAGTCTTGTTATGAGAATAGAAACGTATAGTATGTATTAATTATTACACATATCATAATCATTTATAACGAATATGTCCAGGCTAATCTTGATCTGTTTAAAGGGAGAGATGTGGTGTATATAGGTATCGATTGATATATTATATCACGTTTAACGAAATCTGTCCTGGCTAATCGTGTTCTATGAATGGAAACGTGTACCCAGAATCATAATATATAACTACATATATACTACTAATAATAATCTTACTCAGGCGTTGAATAGAAACGTGATGTGATTTGTTTTTATATTACAATCCTTTTTGAACGAAATCTCTAATGACTAATCTTGTTCTAAGAATAGAAACATATTATATGTTATAATTGTTATATATATTATATCATGTACATGTATATATATATACATATATATATATATATATATATATATATATATATATATATATATATATATATATATACACACATCACGTATATATATCCTTTTTTTAACGAAACCTGTCACGGCTAATGTTGTTCTGGCGTAGAAGAAATTTGATATTGATCGTCATATATTACACTCACTTTATTTTCCCTGGACATGGACTTAAGGGCGTGTGGGAGAATATCTACACCGCACTCACCTACATTGCACCTTCACCACGGCGGAATGTACCCGGTCGAGTTGAGCCAGGAAGCCCTGCTCGGATAATACCGCCAGCGTACAATGTCAAGCTGTCAGACAGGCACCTCATTCAAACACTCGATTGTCAGTAGCTGACACGGTAACTGCTGGTAACTACTGGGTACACGAGTCTTATTATATCACGGATTTCCAATAAGGGTTTTGTTCGCTCGTCACGCCGAAGACCCGGGTTTGATCCCCACATGGTTACAATGTGTGAAGACCATTTCTGGTGTCCCTGCCGTGATATTGCTGGAACATTGCCAAAGGCGGCGTAAAACTAAACTCACTCACTCGAATAAGGGTTTAACGGATTGATGAAAGGTACACATTATCTAAAAAAAACTGCAAATATTTTCTGCAAAATATTATAAGATGCAGAAACGAATTAAAGGAAATACTGTTTATTTATTCATATAGTTTTATTTTGTTGTTTTTATATTTTATTTTCATTTTATCGTTTCAGCGTATTTCATTGACTGGTCAGTGGGTTTGTCTACGTACCATCTGTTAAGTTTGAAGAATATTTATGGCAGCCTGTTCTCATGATCAGTGTTAAATATTCGAATGATATTTCAATATATAGTTTTCATTTTAGAGGGTCAAGTGTTTATTTTTTCATTCCATGAAAGCGAAATACATGAAGTTGAGACACTGTACTTAACTGACAAGAACATAAATGTTCTGAGTTTATTTTCAGGCTACTTTTAATAACAGATGTATGCAACATTAATTTAATTAACCGTTTTGCTATTTCTATGGTTACATTTCTACTGTCTCAATGATGAATTGAAATGTAGATTTGCTGTAAAATTATTGTTACCCTGGCACTGGCACGTGAGTCCATTTAAATCAAAGTATACAACATCCATTAGTGGTTTAATTGCCAGATTTTATCTTGGTGTTTTAAATATGTTAGCATGTCACACAACGACTGGTGACCAAAGTCATGGCGTAAAACCTGCTGGAACTCCATGCTTGAAGCAGAAGCACTGTAAGTCCCCATGATCCCCAATAAGGTGGTCCTACTGCGCTTGCTACTAGCCTATAGCCTAGTTTAAATAACCTAATTAATCTGATGAAAAAACGATTTGTTTTACTTTTCACGTGGTTTGTTTTATAACTAAACTGTTGTACATAGCTTACCGTGTTACTGTCCCTAATTGCCAGGCGTTTAATTAAAAAATAACTGTCTCGCTATGTGGCTGCGATATTGACTTGGCGATGTAAAGCTTTAACTCACTCACTGAAATGGGGCGTGTAACGGTTAGAAATATTAAAGCAACGTCAGCAGAAAAGGGATTGACACATTGGATCCATGTGTGGGAAACGAACCCGCGTCTTCGGCTTGACATGTGAACACTTCAACAGTTAGGCTACCACTTTCCATCGAAATGAAATAGAATAATGAAAATTCAACCTTAAGAAAAAGGATAAGACCACTTCTGGATATGTTCATTACAATCTTCCTTTTAGTTTCAGGACACGGTTTAGAGTTAAGAAAACATATCAGTCCAC